CGGCACTTCCTGTCTGTTGCTGTCTTCTCAATTTTGACTTTTATATTGACTTTATACATCATCATCATTATTATTATTATATATGGATCATCGCACAGTCAGCCAGATGTTCAGACTGGATTTGGCATTTTGTCTACCTATCGAGTCCTTACCCAGGACCTGGGATAGGCAGATGTGGATGTTTGATGGTATTACAGGATATCGTCGCAGGATGGAAGCAGTTCCTAATAAGGCCGCCTTTTGCAATTGACTAATAGCGAATTTGTCAATGCCAATGGTGTTCAAGTGGTGCTCCAGTTGTTTTGGGATTGCACCCAAGGAGCCTATGACTATTGGTACTACCCTTGCTTGCTTTTGCCACAGTCTTTCTATTTCTATTTGTAGGTCTTTGTATTTTGTTATCTTCTCCAGTTCTTTCTCTTCTATTCTGCTGTCTCCAGGCACTGCCACGTCCACTATCCAGACTTTTTTGTCTTTCTTATCGACAATTGTTAAGTCTGGGGTGTTATGTTGCAGGTGCTTGTCTGTTTGAATTCTGAAGTCCCAGAGCAGTTTAATTTTATCATTTTCTATGACTTTCTCTATTTTATGATCCCACCAGTTTTTGCTTACAGGCAAATGATATTTTTTGCAGATCTTCCAATGCACCATTGTTGCTACTTTGTCATGCCGCTGCTTGTAATCAGTTTGTGCAATCTTCTTGCAACAGCTTACCAAGTGGTCCACTGTTTCTTCAGCTTCTTTGCATAGGCGGCACTTACTGTCTGTTGCTGTCTTCTCAATTTTGACTTTGTATGCATTTGTCCTTAAGGCTTGGTCTTGTGCAGCCAGAATTAGTCCCTCGGTCTCTTTCTTCAATTTTCCTGCTCTTAGCCATTGCCAGGTTTTATTATTATCTGCTTTCCCAGCTATTTTTTTCATGTATTGGCCATGTAGTGCTTTGTCTTCCCATGCCTCTATTCTGTTCTTCATTTGGTCTTTCTTGTAGGCCAGTTTGGTCTCTCCAGTAGTTAGTAACCTTCCTGATATACTAATTTCAGTGCATCTTCATCATTGTTCTTCAGATATTCTTCCAAAGCCATTTTTTCTTCTTCAACCATCTGATGTACTTGTAGCATTCCACGCCCACCTATTTGCCTTGGTAGATAAAGTCTATCAATGTCACTGCGTGGATGAAGGGCATGATTCATTGTCATTATTTTTCTGGTCTGCCTATCCATTGCTTTTAGTTCTGCTTGAGTCCAGTCCACTATTCCAGCTGTGTACCTAATGACTGGGATTGCCCAGGTGTTGATTGCCTTTATGGTATTTCCTCCATTGAGTTTGGACTTTAAGATCTTCTTCACTCTCTTGATGTATTCACTTCTAATCTTTTTCTTGACTTCAGTGTGCTTGATGTTGTCAGCTTGAAGGATACCCAAGTATTTGTAGTACTCTTCCTCATCCAGACTCTTAATGTTATTTTCGTGGGGCATCTTGATTCCTTCAGTTTTCATTATTTTTCCTTGTTTGATAGTAAGTGTGGCACATTTGTCCAAGCCAAACTCCATTACAATATCTTGGCTATATATACGGACAGTGTTGAGCAGCGATTCTATTTCAGATGATGTTTTTCCATACAGCTTCAGATCATCCATGTAAAGGAGGTGGGATAGTCTGGCAGATGTTTTTGATGTTTGATAGCCATGTCCTGAGTTATTCAGTATTGTTGACAGAGGAAACAGTGCAATAACAAATAGTAATGGTGATAATGAATCTCCTTGAAATATTCCTCTCTTGATATTAACCTCTCCCAGCTTCTCACCATTGATCTGCAACTGTGTCTTCCATTGTGCCATCGATCTTTGCACAAATTTTCTGATGTTTCTACTGACTCCTGTTATTTCTAGGCACTTGATTATCCAATCATGTGGCAGAGAGTCAAATGCCTTTTTGTAGTCAATCCATGCAACATTCAGGTTGGTCTTCCTTCTCTTGCAGTTTTCCAAGATCATTTTGTCTATTAGGAGTTGATCTTTTGTTCCTCTGCTATTGGGGCGGTTTCCTTTCTGCTCAGGTGGAAAGAGATTGTTTTCAACTAGATGCTGTTGTACTGCATCAGCTACCACACCAGTTAGTAATTTGAAAGTTGTTGGTAAGCAGGTAATTGGCCTGTAGTTACCTGGTGTTGCCCCTTTTGCTGGATTTTTCATTATTAGGTAGGTTTTCCCAGTTGTTAGCCACTTTTCAATTTCTCCTCCTTGTAGTATATTGTTGAACTGCTTGGCAATGAGTGGGTGTATAACAGTTAGATGTTTCAACCAAAACCCATGCAGTTCATCTTCACCTGGTGCTGACCAATTTTTGATTTTCTTTGCTCTTTTTTCTACCATTTTTGTTGTTATTACTAGTTCTTTCATTTCAACTTCTGTTTTATTTGCATCCACCTCTTTTAACCAAGCCGCATCCTTGTTGTATTTCTTTGGGTTATCCCATATCTGCTTCCAGAACTGCACTGTTTCTTCCTTGTCAGGTACTGACTGATTCCTTGCAGTTTCTCCATTGATGGATTGGTAGAAACGTTTCTGATTGGATTGAAATTGGAGGTTCTGCCTATAGTTTGCAATTCGAGCTTCATATCTACTGATTTTCCTGGCTATAGCTGTTATTTGTTGCTTTATTATTTCCAGTGCTTCCTTGATCTTCCTTGTTTCTAAGTGGTTTTCTTGATTAGGTATTCTTTGGTCTTCTTGTTCTTCAGCTTCTTTTCTTTCATCTGTTCTAGCTTGCTTGCATGTGATCTTAACTTGCTGATCTTATTTTCTAGTCTAACCTTCCATTTTTGTGATGCACTGTTTGTTTGTTTTTCTTCTTTGTTGATTTTGCATCCCAGGTATTCAGTTATAACTGCAGCTGTGCTGTACATTAGTTGGTTTGTTTCTTGCAGTGAATTGGTGCTTATACTTGATATTGCAGTATTTGCATCTTTTAATGCTTGTGCTAGCTGTTTCTTTGGAACAAGCTTCAATGCAGGTAGCCTTATTCTGTTGTTTTGTGCTGTTCTAGATGCTCAGTTATTCTTTGTTTCAATTCTTTTATTTCTTTAGTTAGAGGGTTTTGTTCTTCCTGAGGAAGAGGTGCCTGGTTTCCAAATGAGAACAGTTGTATATCTCTGCTGGATTCCTTCACTGCCAACTCCCCCTGGTTTGCCTCTACATTCTGAATTACTTCTGGTAAGGCTTTGATTTCTTTGCCCTGGGTAAACCTTTGCAGTTCATCCAATTCTGTTTCTGTGAATACTTTATTTCGTATTATAAATCGGCGTTGATCTGCTAGTCTCTGTTCTGTTATTTCTGATTCTGGATGTTGTTCTTTCCAGAACTGGTGCATTCGTTTTAGATATCCTCTTCTTGTTGGACTTGATCTGTAGTAACAGATCATTATTTCTTTGTTTTCCATCACTGTGTATCTGCGACGGGTAAACACCTTTTCTTCCAGTAGTTCTGCAGCTGCTGGCCCTGGTTGCTCAGCCAACAGTCCTGAGTCCTGTAACCCATTTTTCACCAGATATCCAGGAACTCCAATATCTAGCGCGGACCTTGTTAACCCGGGCGACGTCCGAGCCGGTATGGCATTCTGAAATTTACGTCTCACCATATTTTTTATGGGAGAGACACTCTTTGTCTGACTCCTCTGATGAGACCTGTCCAGTATGGTTGAACCTCTGGCATAGCTCTCATCTTCCTCAGAGTACACAAGCCCCACAACCACGTCAAGGTAGTGCCTCACTGGGGGATTATTATTATTATTATTATTATTATTATTATTATTATAGATTTCTCTGGTTCAACAAATGACCTATGAGATACTTATTCAGCTTTGTTTAAGGGATCCACCTGCCAGAAACTATTTTTGACAATCTAGATGAGACAAGATTACTGAACAAATAAGCTGAAAGGGAACACTTTGTTCAAATAACATTCAAAGACAGAACCAAGAGAAAGCAATAGGAGATAAGTAGATATATTTTATCTTCCATCAACTTGCTAAAAGTATCAAAAACAGTAAAGCACCAGAAGACATTTAGACCATTATCCACTCAACACATTGGGCTCTTTATTTGTTACTACTTTATCTAGTTTTTAATCACTCCAAGAACTGATTAGGGTAATTTACAATACAATCTTGAAGACACTATGGCTGGTCAATCAATCAATCAGAATCAATCAACCAGAATAGAGCAGGAATGGACCTTGGAGGTCTTCTAGTCCAACCCCCTACTTAAGCAGGAGACCCTATACCAGACATGTCAAACACAAGGCCCGGGGGCCGGATGCGGCCCACAAAGTGGTTTCATGTGGCCTGTGAAGCCATCCTGGAAACAGTGAGGGAACGGCCCCTGCTGCCTTCTCCCTGGCCCAGGCCGGCCGAGAGCCAATGTACAATTTTGTGGTGGCCCTCTATGCTGAAAAGCATTCAGTCTTAGCTCCATAAGCCCCCCCTCCCCGCATGGCCTGAGAGGAACAGTGAGGCTCCTCCAGTGGACCATGCCTTGGCACTTGCCCTATTCCCACCCCCTTCTGCCAGAGACCCTCAGATCTGTCCTACTCCTGCCCAGGGCCCCACAGGCACCCTTGACACAAATGGTGTAGAGCTGACCACACCATCCAGTAGGCCACACCCACTCCATCTACGCCCACCCAGTAGGCCGCACCCATCCTGGCCACACCCACCCGGTCCCCTGAGGGCAACTACAATACTAATGTGGCCCTCAATGGAATTGAGTTTGACACCCCTGCCCTATACCATTTCAGACAATGGGCTGTCCAGTCTTTTCTTAAAAACCTCCAGTGATGAAACACCCACAACTTCTGAAGGCAAGCTGTTCCCCTGGTTAATTGTTCTCACTGTCAGGAAATTTCTCATACCAGAGAAGTTTAAAAAATGAATATAGAGCAAGTACATGAAAGAAAAGTAATCCTTTCCCACCGTCTGTCTGGAAAAAAACTCTTAAGTGGTACCTTTATTGTTGTCCATTCCTCCAACAGCATACAAGGTCCCAACGGTAGATTTCCTTGGCTTTGTTCTTGGACTTTGCATAAGTGTTCGTCTTTCTGGCAAAAGATGGTATTTCATGGCTTCCAAAATCAGCTTCTGACATTCCAAATCATCTTTAAAAAGTGCATGGTTTTCTAGGTCCGCTAAAATCTGCAAATCATACAAGTTGTGATTTAATAGTGATATTCTACTTCTTTATGGCCCAATCCTCACATTTCCTTGCACAAGCTTCAGTGATGTAGAATGCTTGGACTTGCAGAGGAGATTGAGGAGGCCTTTCCTTTTAGTAAATAAAAAGACATAACTAAATCCACAAGGACGACAATTCAGATTAACAAGGTAATAAGATGGCCATAGATTTATTTGGAGCAATAATCGATGAAAAATTCACATGACATTTTACAATGCATCAGCATAGCAAACAAGAAACTAAATTGTGAGTTAACCTACTTCTCAAAGAAGTGGTACATTACCATGAAATTGTGAGAACAGGAGACAAAACAACACTTCTGTGCATGGGGGAACATTATTTTCAACAGAGGTCTTAAAAAGTGTAATGTAATTCCCATTTTAATTTTTTTCTCAAGAGATTCCAGCATTTCTGCAATTGATGTTGTCCTCTTTTCCCTATGAAAACATATTTTTCCTTATGAAAAGGTCCCTCAATCAGAAATGATACCTGGTTTTTCTTACCCAATGTCATGGAAAGGAAAACTAAGTCCTAAATCTCCCTATTTTTTTTTTCCTGGAGGAAAAAAAAATCTTGTTTTTATGATGTTCTCATCCTTTACTCCCCAAAACATCTTGACCATAAACTACTCCAGGAAAAAGATAGGATTGGATATCTGTAACAACTGGGAAATATGATTTCTTTTAAAACAATGCTATATTGACAGGAACATGTATATAGGTAGCCTATAATATATTCCATAATGTTTATAGGTAGTCTATAATATATTCCGTAATTGTGCCTCGAAACAGTGGCTGACACTCAAATGGCCATAGTCAACTCCAGCCAATACCCCTCTTGGACAATGCAACTTTGAAGACTTGCAAAGAACTTTGTCTGGGAATAAGAGAATTAGTATTGTAGTAAAGACCATAAGCAATGACATGCAGATGGTGATGACCATTTATTAAACTTACAAAATGGGTAATGGAAAGAGTCTTTCTTAAAAAGCAGGAATCAGAATGACAATTGCTGAGATTTTTTTTGATCATTACATTCTGAAACATCTGCTCACTTTATAAGTAACTCCACAAAGAAGAAGAAGAAGAAAGTGTGACAGATGCTTCTGGTCAACTTCTAAAAGATGATAGAGACAGTACCACAAGGGAAAGGTGGCGCAGCAGTTAGAGTGCAGTACTGCAGGCCACTTTAGCTGACTGTGTTCAGCAGGTCAGCTGTTCAAATCTCACCGGCTCAAGGTTGACTCAGCCTTCCATCCTTCCGAGGTAGGTAAAATGAGGACCCAGATTGTTGGGGGCAATGTAAATATATATATACATTGCTTACTGGTGTACACCGCTTAGAGAGTGCTTGCACTTAAAGCGGTATATAAGTCTCATAAATAAATAAATAAATAAACATAGAAGTGAAAGAGGGAAGATTAGTTGGGAACTACATTCTTAAGGTTCCAACAATGGGAATGCCTTTGTGCATAAGAGAGAAAATGGTGTCATGTGCTGCGATGCTAATAAATCCAATAGAAATAAGTTCATCCTTGAGTGAATAGGAAACAAAAAGTGAAACAAAAGAGACTTGGTAGTCATGCTACAATAAGGAATATTACCATCCAAATATGCTCTAGGTATCTGAGCAAAGATGAAAGGCATGGATAAAGAGACAACCTATATAATAGCCAATGTGAGAAATTGCAAGTTATAAATAAAATATTAATTTTAGAATGTATCTTACAGTTTAAAGACTCCCTTTAGAACAATATTTTAAGTTGTATTTAGTTTATTTCATCTTTTGTCTATAGCTTTTTCAGGATGGTAGACTCAATGCTAACTCAGTGAATTTAAATTTGAAAGAAAATCATGAGACAGTAAAACTGAGACAAAAAGCGAACTAGATTCTCACTTTTTAAGATAGACTGAATGCTCTGTCTGATGTATCAAAGTCCTCATATGACCCAAAGAATTAATGATTGCACCAAAATCAGAAATTCTATCTCTCAAACTTGCAAACAGCTTTGATTAAACTGGTATAAATAATGTCACTCGATATATCCCAGAGATTTATCTGGGAACTAATGTCTAATGTCAGTTTAAACAACAATAATAGCAATAAAAAAGCTTAACTATATTCTTGGATAACAGTCAAAATATATAACTAGTTTTACTGTCTAACAGGGATGAATTTAGAAATTATGGCTGTTGCTGATGCTGTAAAAATCTCCCTTATAGTAAATTAACCCATAACATTGGTTCAATAAGTCTGCAAAGCAAACATTAGGCTCTTGTCCCTGTGCATTTCATCTTCCCAGAGTGTTACACAGAATAACTAAAATTTAATTAGCTGCTGCCCTTGTGCTATCATAAACTCTGCTTCCCTGCCATGCATCCGCAGGGGAATTGTACAGGGGTTTGTTCAGAAATAAATAATGCATCTTATGTATCTGTAACCGTTTCTCCATCAAGGGACAGGCAATATTTTTCCACTCCTCTCTCTGTAATATCTAAGCCACATATGCGTGGCCTGACAGCACAATCTTATGTGTTTGCCAACACAACCTGTCCATGGAGCCAATCTGTATGCTAGGAAAACTCCCCATAAAAATGTTAAGGACATTGGAAAGTTGTTGTAAAAGCAGCAAACAAGAGGTAGAAGATAAAGCTGCCTTTGAGTCTTCAACCCTAGTTTCAGTTTGCCCTTTGTAGTTCAGGCTCAGAAAGTGTAATTTCATCACTATTAATAGAAGATGCAGGTAGAAAAAAGCTACCAGTTTTTAATACTAAGCATAGGAAAAAGCAGCGATACATTGGGGGGGAAATTGATTTCTTGAGATCCAGTAATGGATTTTGGAGGGTTGAGGTTGATGGAAAGATAAAGGCTTCATGCAAGCCAAAATTCAGAATTAAAAAGCTGAATCCACAACAATTTGTTGAGTTTGGCTGAGAGAGAGAGAGAGACCGACTGGCCCAAAGTCACACAGCTTTTGTGGCCAAAGCAGAACTAGAACTCACAGTTTCCTTGTCTCTAACCTGGTGCCTTACCACTAGACCAAATTGGCTCTCAAATAGCACAGGTAAGATTAAGAAAACACAAATGTTTTCTTCTAACCTACTTCTTGATTACACTAATATTCAGTCTTCTGTCTTTCTGGATCATGAAGAATGACTGTCGTTAAAAGGATACCAATTTATGCTCTTATTGGGACATTCTGCCTGGTGCGATGAGAGGGTAATTTAATTGCAAATTCTCAAGTTGACCATGGAATTAACTTTAAGAATAACTTCCGGCCAGTCTCTCTGTTCAGTCCAACTTACCTCAAGCTGTGGAAATATACAGGTAGTTAGGCTGAAAGAGAGGGACTGGCCCAAAGTCACCTACTGAACGTCTGCAGCTGAGGGTGAACTTGAACCCGTCTCTCCCCAGTCCTAGTCCACTGCCACATTGATGATGATGATGAAGATGGAGATGATGATTCTGAATCAACCTAATGTAAGAAAGGGAGAATTAATTAACCTAAGCAAGTGAGACTCCAATAATCTTAGAACTAAAAAAGAAAAATCATTATCTTTTACTTCAACAAACTGGAAGCACGCATGCAACCACTCTCGGGCAGAAAATTAACCATCTTTATTGCTTTCAGGACCAACAACAGTCCCTCCATATCTGCCACTACTCAAAAACTCCCAAAATGTGATCTAATTCATTCCCTATAATCCCCTTGATGATACATGAAACCAACACAGAGAGGGAGAAAGACATTTTCATTAGAAGGACATGATAAACATACGTCAACATAATAGCAACAATCAAAAGAGCAAAAGAAAAAAAAATGTTCTACTTGAGTCCAATCTTAATTTATAACCTGAATTCCAAAAATCATTTGGCTTGTATCCTTTCAGATAGCAGATAATCTACAAGGAATTCACTTGAAGGTATTATGCTCACAGTGACGACCAGAGATTATCCAACTGAAATATGCACAGGTTCAACAAGATCACAGTTGTTCAAAATGTCTGAATAGAGGCAACACAGAGAGCATTGCTGGTTTTGGCTATAGAGTCTTGAGGTGAATAAATAATATGTTGCATTTCTTACTTCATAACGAATGAAACATTCCATGAAGTTTAGGCTGCCACAGACTGCAATTATCAACATCTCATGGTCAAATAAACAGAGGTACTTAGGCGGCAGGATCCCACAGAATTAATCAGAAATTCAGAAAATCACAAGAAATATGAAGATACTAAGATGGTCCTGAGATCTATCAACATTTCTTTGTAGTTTTAGAACAGTGGTTCTCAACCTTTCTAATACCGTGACCCCATAATACAGTTCCCCATGTTGTGGTGACCCCCAAGTGGGTGAGACCACCAATAAGAGGGATTAGAACAGCTAGGGAAAAGGGAAAAAAATGGCGGACAGCGTGGTTTGGTGACCCCCGTGAAATGATCATTCGACCCCAAATGGGGTCCCGACCCACAGGTTGAGAACCACTGTTTTAGAAGGTCCACAACAGTGTTTCTTAGCCTTGGCAATCTTATAATGGGTAGATTTCAACTCCCAGAATCATTCAACCAGCTATGATGTTTATTATGGAGAGAACATCACCAAACACTGCTGATATTTTAAGGATGTAGGATCATCCTGAGTATACAGAGTATCCCAACTTCAAAACTTTCCTTTTTATACTCAAGTTCCAAAATTTAATAAAATAATTCCATTTTAGAAAAAAATCTGAAGAAAGATTTCATGCTTTCCGTTCCAGTAAGTTCCCTTGGTTCCCATCATATGCCATAAAGTAGCTTCTTCAATTTAAATATCTAAATGTCTTTGCAATGAAATCTTGATTACCATTTTATGCATTCTCATCTTCATACCAATATAGATCTTTGGTCTCTGCTAAATAGGAATTTTAGCAGCTTTATGCTTCTGAAAGAGAATTTTATTACATAGCACAAGCAATGATATT